ATCAAATGCTGGTGTAGATTGATTGGTTCTGCTGCCTATACGTCTTTGGACACCAGTCACAAAGGTCCCTGCTTGGTCACCTCTATGAAAATCGTCTGGCTATGCCACTGCTGTAGACAAAGCTGGTCTTCATGTGTGAACTTTCAGGCACACCTGAAATTTTGTATTCTCTGCTGAAAAGTTGAGAAAGTTTAATTTTGATGTGTAGTGAGTGTTGTGTTGAGTTTATCACAAACAACTGTAACTGCAGAACCTCGGATGCTCACACATTTTTAGTCTGATCAGCCATCCGTTCGTCCATCCATCCATCCATCCATCCATCCATCCTTTTTAGATGCCAAACTATAATTTGTGTTCGATATTGAGGAGCACCTGAAACTCCCTTCAGGTGGTGATGCTCCTCCTCTTGATCAGGAGGAATCTTGTTAGCTGCTTCCATTTAAGACCTGATTTTTTCAGGCATGATCTATATCTCATGGTCAGAGGTGAGGAATGGAAAGTAGATGGACTAGAAAATCAAGAGCTTTGCCATTCATGTTTGCATTATCTCCAAATAGATCTCCAATCCACACATTCTTCTCCCTATATGCTCTAAGGTAGAGCATTTCTCCATCCCCTTTTCTAGTTTAAAACTGTGACTTCAGATGGTTTGGAAATGCCGCTCAGATTATGATCTGGGTTTTGGAACTTTGCTGAACTGGAGAGCAAAATAAGACAATATTTTTCTCTCTACAGACCCAACACAAAACTCTCCGTAAAGTAAAGCAGATGATGAAAATATTTGTTTCCGTTATATCTTAAAATTCCATTTAACAATGCATACAATTCTGGATGGCTATTAGAGTGAAGAAAGTGTAGTAAATCAAAGGTATATGATTGTAAAAATTTATTTCAAAAACATAAATAAAGAACTGTGTGAACCTGGAGCACAACTTTCATTTATTACTGTTTGACAGCAAAATAGTTTCAGTCAGGCTAAATCTCTTCATCTGGCACACCCGAAGAGAAGGATTTAACCAGGTTTAAAGCGTAAGAAAAATATTTACACTATTACAACTTAAGAAATCTAGATTATATTTATTTCCCTATTACCACTTGGAGACAAAAAATATGTCTAGTTAGTCAGACTGTGACCTTTATTATCACCACACATAACCACTCACTGTTTACAGTTTACAGAAGGGGATTTTGTAAAGTGAAATAAAAAAGAAAGTAAAACTCACAGTGCTCTGCACACCACAGTTTGGCCTCATTATAACCTTGAAATTCTCACATTTCAGGTTCAACTAAGCAGAAGTAATTTGGTTTGATTCCCCAGTTTCTACTCTGCAGCCCACTTTCTGCAGAGACACACAGCCGGGGTGTTTCCCTGTGAGACACAATGAACTGTAGCTAATCATAAAAAAAATCATTGTAAAGCCCAAACAACAGAATTCAAATCCCCAAACATGCACAACCCACAACTTTTGGACAAAATGTAATTTAATGTTGATTTGATTTTGTTTAGTAGCATTATGTTGAAGCTCAGAGCTATAAACTTAAAAAGTGAGACGTACTTGCTTTTGAATTTCTCTCACTCTTCACTGCTTCACCCTCCACGACCCACTCATTATTGATGGCTCTCAGTGAAGTAGTCTCAGAGCAGCCGAGCGTGAGACGGCCTTCCATCCAATTTCCATATTAAGGACCAAAGGAAAGGTCAGCCTGGCCACGTCTAAACAGTTATTGACAGGTTAGGAGTGTTGCTGCAGGGCGAGAGGGGAGGAACGGTCAGTAACGCAGATAATTACCACACAGCTGTCAAATGGGCATGGTGGAGAATGAGCAGCTGAAGGGGGGACATTATGCAAGCAGCAGGTGAGGGCTTCAGCTTAATGCAGTGATAATAGAAGAAGTAGTACAAAAAAATGTAATTTTACATGTTATGGAGTTTATGGCGCAAAGGAACAAGTGTTACACACAAGAATACAGATGGTAGAAAATAATATGAGCTCAGCTTTATCTGCTTCACAAAATGTAAAACACATCATGAGCATTTCTAACAGACTCAAAGCTCCAGTTATACATTTAAAAACAAGTTTGCTTAAATATTTGCAACCTCAACCTGAAATCATGTTCACCTTGAAGATCAAGCGACAAACAAATACTTGTACAGCACAGAAAATTTAGGGATGGTTTATGTGCCAATATGGACATTGATGCTGCATTCATTTTGAGCTTTTAATTCATTTTCCTCAACAATAAACAGTTTTCTTTAATCAACAAAGGGTCAAAAGTATACAAGAAAGCTTAAGCATACATACTTGTGCCTACACCTTTTAGTGCAGTAAGTGATAGAAAATGTAGTCTTTCAGGTGAAAGGCCTATTATCTTCCTCTTAAAGATATTAAGTGAGTGCAGCTGCCAGGATAGAAAGGTTTATTTAGTACTGAGTGACTAGACCAAAGCTCAGACCCACTCAGAAAAAAAGACAGAATCTTGGATTATATTTTACAGAAGGGTGTGCAATTTGGATCTGTTAAAATGAAACAACACTGGTCAGGAGACATTCAGAACACCAGTTTGACTACCCACAGTGGAATATTGTAGCATTTTTTCATGTTGCAAATCTAATTGTTGCGAGTCTTTGTATTTTATTTATTATCCATTTTTTTTTTCCACAGTAATTCAACAATAGAGGTTTTGGCCTTATTTTAAACATTTGATCCTCTTTGTTTGAGGAGTCTTTGTGCAAAGCAGGTTAGAAAATAATCACAAGGTGAGGTAAATATATGATACAAATACTATCATTAAGGAAAAATTATGAAAATAGTGTCACAAATTGATGCAGTACATAAAGTCACTGCAGTATCTTTTTACTTTTTGTTATTGAAGATGTGCCTTATCTGTGTCTGAGCACTTCATACTGTTTTATGGAGAGTGAATGTGTGTGTTTGGCTCTTTTTCATCTGTTTGACAAGAGGAATATTTGGCGGCATCGAGAAGAGACTTGATGATGGGGAAAAAAAACACTGTACTAACTGTCAGTCATGCTGGTGGCAGCATCATGCTGCGGGACTGCTTTGCTGGCACTGGTGCTGATACATTAAACCAAGTTAGGAACTATTTTTTTAACCATATACCCTACATAAACCATCGGCGTCGCCAGACCCCATTTACTGGGGCACGTGCCCCAGTATAAATGAGCTGTGCCCCAGTATAAACCTCATGAATATTTGCAACAGTGATACATTTTTTTAATGCATCAATTTAGATAATTCCAACGGGAGGAGACGTACATTTCTACTCAAACGCGTAGCAAGTGTGTTGTTTACTCCAAGTTGAGGATGAATTAGCGCCCCCACGTCAGCGCATGTCACTGAATGAACTGCAGGTAAATTAACGCGCTGCTCTCAGCTGAGTTGGATGGGACACTGTGCGGCCGCGACGCATTTTTAGTTCTGGTAACGTTTCTTACCTGTCAATTTTATTATTTTCCCAGTGAAACCACATGATTTATAGGCTACTAACTGAAAATTACTGCATTGGTTTGTAGATGGATATCAGGAAATTCCTCACATGAAGCAGAGACAGGGAAGCAGTAAAACAAGATGAGAGAGGGAGGTAAGGTCCTGTGATGAATTAGTGATTTAAGCTAAGCAGTTACATTAGGGACGTTATAAGCAATATGATGGATATTTACATAATTATAAATTTAAGGTTTTTTAATGTTTGCTGTAGAGAATGAGAATGAAGGTGCTGGAGTAGGAAAGGCAGGAGGAGGCGAGACTGACAGTTAAGAGACAGGAGAGAGACAGGAGAGACAGGTGAGACAGGAGAGACAGGAGAGACAGGAGAGACAGGACCATGAAGGTGATGAGGGAGCAACAACCAGCTTCCACAAACAAGAAGGGGACATTAGTGACTTAGGGGGAAAGCATGATGGTCCTAAACAAGTGAAGTTGTCCCACTAACCCCAGGACAAAGTTGGAGTAAAAAAAACGTTAATTTAATTCAAAATGGTTTGAAAGCTTTTTATGGTTGAAAAAGAAAGCCTTGTCATGAAGGATATGCAGTGTGTTTTCAACTTGCTTAATAACATCGTGTTCCCAACACTAACGCAGGTCATCCAGATCTTCCTCACCATCCCAGTCTACAGCTGGAGTTGTTAAAGGTCATTCAGTGTGTTGAGAAGGATCCACACTTAGCTGAGGTGCACAATGGGACAAGACAGGCTCCATCATCCTGCTATTTTATCAGTTGAAAAGGAAGAACTTTCTAAGCTGAGTCACAGTCTAGTGATTGATCGCTTTGCAAAAATAAAAAAAATAGGAGGAACACTTTAATGATCAAAAAATAAAATAAAAACTTAGCTCAGGATGAGTTAAACTTTCCCCCGAACTAAAACTCTGAAACCTAGGAATTAATGATTACTTCAGAATGTGTATAAGGAAACTTTTTATTTGTCAAAGTTGTTGATGTCTTATTTTTTATAGCTGCAATGTTGAAATTGTTTATGTTTGTTAAAACAAATATGCTCTTATACTCATTAATATCTCAACTGGTAATTTTGGTAGGAATTTATCAGGGTGGGGCAGTGTGCTTGTCTGTATTTGTGTATGGCAGGAGGGGCATATGCGGTAGGGGGCCAGTGCCCCAGTAAAGCTTTGTGCCTAGCAACGCCCCTGACATAAACCCTACATTATTTTGAAGGGGTCTGATTATACTTGAGCAAAGAGTTATAGTTTTGAACCTGCATGGATGAGATCAAATCTACAGTCAGTTAACACCTGTACAACAAATTCACCTGTAAAACAAATTCCTGGTTTTAAAATGTTGTTAAAGCAGTTCAACTAAATAAATAAAAGGAAAATGCCTCATATTTGTGTACCAGATGAGTATGTAAGCCTCTGACTGTTGTGTTTTTTTACTTAAAAGAAGATGCCTAGATATAATATATTTTTTTTAAATATATTTGTCACGAATCACCCTGAAACTATGTTCATATTTCTACTCTGCAGATCCATCAGTGCACCACAGGCAAAAGACGATGGTGACGGATATGTGCTACCCGACAGAGATATCCAGCCTGATGGACTTTGGCACTGCAGACTGCTCGCTAGGCAAAGGTACATTGTTGCTCGAGATTACAAGCTGTTGCCGTGGTGACAGCAGGAAGTGAGCATGGTGATTTGTCCTCGCAGTTAAAAGGACGCAGGGCTGTCAGCTTGGCTCAGGGGGTGAACGGCGGAGCGAAAGGCCTTCGCAAGTGAGAACAATCAGATAACAACACTTGTTGTCTGGCCATAAGGGCCCTTTTGCATTCACTGCAGGCCTGGATTTATCTCAGCTGAAAGTCTAATCTGTTCTGTCACGTATATATCTCAGTTCCTATTGATCATGAGACTTCCACTGAGGAGAATTCTACTTTGCAGATTGCTTTGGAGTTTGCTGAAAAGTATCGCTCGAGTTGGATTGTAATGGGCCGTTATAGCATCGCATCATGATGACTTATCTTCCACAATTACCAGCATCAGCATTACAAACGTAATGTTTTATGAGGAGGCTTATGCAGCTCAGTATGATTGCCTCTTTTCACTTCATCTTCTGTAGCAATCATCCCTATCAGTATGCAACTACATCATAAAAGGTATTGATCAGGGTGCTTGTTTCATCCTTTTGTTTGGACGCATCCTTTTTTTCATCTCAACACCGAGTTGCCATTATTTGTAGAGCTCATTGTGATTTTAAAAATAGTAGTACCCTTACAGATGTTGCCCTTGTGTGTTACCCATAAATAAGGATCCAGTAGAGAACCCAAATGCAGAGACGCAGGCTGAGGTGGTTTCTTGCAGATTTTATAATTAGAATGGGGTCAACAGAAGCATAAAACTGAAAAGGAGGAGTATATAAGCCAAACAGAACAATGGATGGAGTTATCAAATGATTGGGAGCAGACATTAACAGGACTTAAAATATAACTAGAAAAGAACTTAAATGACAGAAAATGGAAATGAAATTAATGAATTAAAAAACACAGAATGACATAAATCAAATTATAAAAGAAAGTGAAGTGAAAACAGAACCAAAAATCCACATCAGGAGATAATGACACCAAAGTATTCAGTGGAAACATTCTATAGACCAATGAAGCACAAGCAGAAATTTTAGAAAGGATTAGATTTGCTGATTTTGGAGTAAACTAACAGGAATCCATCATACTAAAAGCCAAATATTTTTGGCTCATGATCTAGACTTACAGTTACTGATGAAACCATGAATTGGGTGCTGATCCTTCAGCTCTATGTTACTCAGTCAAGCAACGAACTGAAACAGAATCAGTGCTTGAATCCTTCAGTGATAAGGATAAATAAAAATAGTCAGGAGTTGGTAGACATAAAACTTGAGGAAATTTGTTGGTCAAAAAATATTTATTGGATTTAGGGCATAATTACTTTTTCACATAGAAGCATTACATGAGGTAATTATTTCACCAGTGCATTTTGTATTTACTCAGGTTATCTTTGTAAAATAAAAAATCCATTTTAATGATGTGAAACATTCAACTGTGTAAGAGGTAGCATCAAATCCCTGCAGACACAGCTCATCAATCATATAATAGGCAACTAGTTTTCCCGATGAACCCAAGACAAGGCTGATAAGAAATCAGGTTTTACCATAAAAACACCAGAATTTCTATAAGTTAGGGGGTAGAAGTGGTGTAGGGTTACAGTTAATACAATAACAACGATAATAACAATCAGTGATAGTGTATCCTGAGGCATTATTTGTGTGTGTTTTAGCTAATGCATACTTTAAAATAGTTTTGGGTATAAAACTTGTTACTAAAAAAATACAATGTCTTCAATGAAGAGGCTTATGCACTTCTTAGAAATTTAGTTTTGACTGACATATGTTACAATATCATGTATTAGTAAGCTATCTCAAGTAAAATAGAAGAGCATTGTGCTACCTAGGCTTCACAACAGTCTAAAAACAAAGCTAAATTCTCAGAGCAAACATACTCAAATAGATTTTAATTTGGTATCAACTTAAAGGTATAGTGGAGGATTTCCGTGCATCTTTTCGTGCATCTTAAAAAAAAAAAAAAAATGCACATGCACAACCCTGTACCCGCTCCTGAGATGGAACGCTTATTAAACGCGTTCAAGAGCATGCACAAGCTCATTTTTCCTCGTGCACGCTCTATTTAAAAGTTAGTGTATGAATCGATCATACAAGCTTACTTTCCAAAAGAAGATTTGCATTTTTTCCTACTATGTCGAACTCACTACCAATAAGTAAAAATTTGGAACATATCACCAGAATCACTGACAATTAGGAGAACCGCTCATGTTGATGATCTACCTGGAAAAAGAACATCCTCCACTATACCTTTAAATCCCAGTTATAAATGCAGCTTTTACTAGGTCTTTGAATTGTATTCCTATTTATGCTGCAGGACAGACAAGTGTCTTATTTTTGTTGTTTTTTTCATCAACAGCAAGTGACAGATGTGACCCCAGAAACTAATTTCGCCCTGAGTATCCCTCAGGATCTCTACCTTTTTACCTTTCTTCCCTCTCTGCGACCCAGTTTGTATTTTAATGCTGCTCTCTATCAAAATGCTGCAGCAGTGTTAATGCAGAGTGGCAGGTCAGCTGTGTGTGGCTGATAGAAAGTAGTGCAGTGCAGCAGGGGAAGATGCAGGGGAGAAAAAGTCTGTTTTTCAGGCATTAACTGTGAGCAAAGCAAATGAATGACACAGAGATACAGGGAGTTGAGCTGAAGAATAAGGACACAGAGGGGTGGAAAATTTCAAACTGAGGAGGTGTCAGGATAAAAGCGGGACTGTAAAGGATTCAGCATTGCTTAGAGGCCAGCTTCACCATTACTTTTAAAATTTAAAGTGCTATATTTTGTAAAAAAAAAAAAAAAATGCCTCCTTATATGAAATATTTACTCCCTTCAGGCTCATTCCAATAGCTGTTAAAGGTATTTTTTTTTTTAAACAAGAGAAATTTACCCTATAATTAGTTTGTATTTGTAATTTATTTGTTGGTTTAAAAAAAAAAATACCTGTTATGTTATTAGCAAATAAAATGTTAAAATGTGTCACAATTTAGAAAAAATCTCACAAATAGTAAAAAATATAATAACTTAGCAATGCTCCAATATTAGTTTTATTTCAGGCGAGAAGAAGTCAGGGTGGAGCAACATCTACATGAACAGCAAAATGTATTTGTTAAACTTTTTCAATGATTTTCTTCAATAAAATAAAAAACTGGGGACATATTCAAACTATGCATTCTCTAAAAGGTGGGAAATACAATTTTAGAAATGTTGCAGCTTCAAATCTGTTTAAATGTGCACTGTATGAAAAATGCATTTGAAATTTAATGTATGAAGTCAAATAGGAATAGTTTAAATGTGGAACAGAAGCAACTTCCACATCTATCTGTTTGGATCCCCATTATTCCTTTGTGTTGCTGTTTTTTTCCCTCGTTGTTACAGTTTCTGAAATGTTTCTACTGTGGTCCATTTCTTTTATTTGCTATTCTTGTTCTTGTTATATTTTCCCCTAAATTTCTTCCCATCTTTAAATACTTTTTGTGAAATAAGTGTCTTCCTTGGGGGTGCAGCAGTGGTGCAGGGGTTAAGCCTGTGACATATGTACAGTCTTTAGCCTTTGGTCTGCAGTTGTGACAGGTTTGAGTCCCGGCCTGATGACCTTTGCTGCATGTCTTCCCCATCTCTCTAATCCCATGTCCTGTTTGCCTTCTTTCAAAAAATAACAAAACTAAAGGCCACTGCAGATTTGAAAAATACATTCTCATAAATCTCTTGCCCTCAGCTCCTTGCTTTCACCAAGCCTCAGCTGTTCCTTGTTATCAGTCACAAGAAGCCTACTTCCATCCTCCATCTTCCCTTAGTATTTAGAAGGAACTGCTTTTTGTTTTATGCCTGTTTTTCTGCGGAAATTTAGGATATCGTCAGAGGTGCTTGGTGAACCCAAAAAATTTACTATGCTAAAAGAAGCAAAAGTAAAAAGTAGCCTTTAAAGAAATTTCTCAAGAAACGGTTAAAAAGTATTTGGTAAGAAGGCTACACAGTTACTGACTACTAATCTACTTACTACCCGTGACCATAACAACTAATTTAATATTTTTTGAGTTATAAACCTTCCATCAGTATCGGTAGTTATATAGAAAAATCAATAGTTACATAGAATAGGTAAAAGGCATTGTTGAGGATTTTTTAAATGACCCGCCCTCTCCACTTAAAAAAAAAAATGTGCATGCAAGAGCGTGCACAAGCCCATTTCTCCTCCTGCATAACCTGTTTAAAATGTGCTGTTCTCATAGTTCATCCAAGTGTACTGTGTCCATATGCAGCAGGGACTATATAGTGGACATTATAGCAAACTTAGTTAACTGACCGTTCGGACAGATGATCACTGCTTTTTGCTCCATCATGTAACTCCTTCTCCGTGCAGTGCATGCGCCATCTTTTTCATTTGTCGCCATTGTCAGGTAGCGACAGGCTATGGCGACAGCGGGCCACTGTGACTGCAAATCCCATATTGCTTTGCGAGGAGAGCTCTCCATGCAAAGCAATCCTGGATATATCTGCCTCTTCTGAGGCCTTTCTATTCTTCTCATACAATTCAGAGACACTTTTTCTTGGCCATTTTCAAAGAGCCGCGGTGAGAAAGGTGATCTTCAATGACTGTAGCTCACCACAGATGTACATATGCCCGAGAGCGTGCAAGTGCAGAAAAAGATAGCTAACGGGACAAGCACGTGAACAGCCTTACGGGAACATATCACTAGAAAGACTGACAATTAGAAGGAACACTTATTTAGACTAAATTCAAGATTGTCTTCTATACCTCTAAGGACAGTAAACTGTTTACTGTATTATCACCCCACCTCCAACTAACACAGCAGACTCTGCTTTATCATAGTTTTACTCAAGTAAAAGTAAAAAGTACAATGCTGTGTAACTAATCCTAAAAATACATTTTTATTATAAAGTTGCCCATGTAAATGTAACTCGGTAAATGTAACTAGTTACTACCCACCTCTGGATATCATCTCTCGGTTAGTCTGCCTTCCTTTCCTGCCAA